TTCTAATAATTACTTTGATTTGTCTCGGATCGAAATTATTGAATTTTTTTTTATAAAAACGATACGTTAGATCTTCGATCTAACATTGACCGATTTAATATTTTAATCAATATGATTGATATAAAAATATAATTAATAATAATTTGACATAAAATGATTTTTAAATGTAAATGACAAAAGTTAATCAGTATTGTAGGTCGTTGGAACATAATTCATACGATCTCTTCACCTTGTAAATGCGTACATGACTGAATAATGCAGGTGAAGAACCTTTACGTTACTCTCTTATGCGTTTTCTATCTGATAGGTTTCTTTTCGTCGAGAAATATTCAAAAAAATTCCAACGATCGCGTTCAAAGGGTAAAAATCCTTGACAAACATTTTTGTTAACCTTATTAAAAGACTATTGTCCGAGGAGTGGGGGGAGAGGGATAATATTGTACTTAGTGGTCAAATTAAAACTAACAAAAAAATACAAAAATTTTTCCAACCGATTCAATATTATTAGTTAATTTGATTTTAATCGATCTTGTTTCTTTTTTTTTTAGACTATAAATTTCTGATCCGTAAAAAAACGAAATTGGAAATTGTGAAGATTTTCCATAGAGATACTACACACAAAGCAAACAAGCCAGCATAAAACCTGTCGGCGAAATAAAAAGAGATAGAAGATAGGAGGTTAATGTTGTCTCTCTCTAGTTTGCGAGTCTTTTGTTCTTTCTTGCGTTATATATATATATATATATATATATATGATATATATATGTTACCGCATGAGTTAGAGAGAGACAACATCAACCTTTCGTTTTTTGCTGTATATTCATGCAGAGACATTTCCATTTACACAACCGCCTATGGTTTGTTTCCTCTATCTGTAATGTCTCTATAAGATTTTCACGGTCGCTTGTCAACACATATCAAATACGTTGATAAAAGTCAAAATATTTATATTTATTTTTATACATTTGGACCATGACCGGTGTATGTCGTCGAGAATCGGTAATATCTAAGGGAATTTTTATTGAAATTTATTATTGGTATTATTTTCTTATCTTATTTAGTGTACACACTATTAGTTTTAAATTCAATAATTTATTTACATGTGTACATAAACTTTCCCCTATTTTGTAATAATATGTTTCAATAATAAATTATAATTTTAAAACGTAACAAAAATATTTCTATTGAACAATCACTATCTGTACATGGTTAAACGTCGACGTTTGCCGATGTAAGTCAGAAATGAACATATTTAGCAAATATTTTAGAGATATTATACACCAAGCTAACATATGTGAATCTAGACATTCTCCAATTATGGTCTTTCACGATAACACATATATACATATATTTAAAAGAAAAAGTTTAATCATTGCAAATTATTCTTATAAATCAGTCTGAGTTAATCTTAACAAGAAATATATGTCATAGATTCTAACTATAACACATATACATATATATATTAGGGTGGGTCAAAAAAATCAATTATTTTTTTTTTTACAAGTGCCACGGAAAAATAGGTTGCTAAACACCTTAACAAAATTCTCGCCAAATATGAGCTCTTAATTTTAATAGGAAGATCCTCCGCATCGCAGTTTTTTATTTTTTTCTCAGTCTAATAGAATAAAATTCATACTTCATCATTAATTGATTGTACAGAAAAATGTTCTGGAAGAATTTTGTAGGAAATTGAATGCTCTACAAAAAAGGTATCTTATATTTTTTCCGTAAACCTCACCATTTGAATGATATTGAAGATTTAAATTTGATAATTTTAAGACAAATTTCATTTTTGTTTATGAATTTTATAACTCGACAATAAATGACTATTATAAAATGCGCAATACAAATTTTTGTAGGAAATTAACTGCTCTATAAAAATGGTGTCTTATGTTTTGGCGATTAAATTAGGCGTTCAAAAGATATTCATCATCAAACTTTCATGTGTACTGATTTCTGTTTCTGAATATATATATATTTGAAAGATAAGATTCTAACCATATAACACATATACTATATATTATAAAGAAAAAGTTTAACCATTGCTAATTATTCTTACAACCAAGTCCGAGTTAACTCATCCGTCAACATCATTTTTTTTTGAGAAGCATTTTCAAATTTTTTTTTTTTTAATAACTGCTACTTTAGAATATATTCGTTAAAATCATGAGATCATATCTAGTGCTTCATGAAAATATTAAAAATTCTCACTATTTTATTTCAAATCAATAATGAATGATATAAAATAATTTTTATATTTAAATAAAAAAAAAATTGTTGTAAAAATAGTTCTATTTGGTTAGTATGAATATCATACAATTGATTTAATTTTTTTTTGCATTTTCGTATTGTGGCTGGTAATGGGTTAATCTTAACGAGAAATATATATCATAGATTCTAACTATAAACGATAATCGAAGAAACTGAAAATCGATTCCCCATTATCATGGTAAAAGTGAGACGTCAAAGTAGGTCTCGGTTTTAATCTCGTTCGATCAGTTCGATACCATAGACGTCGTAACTCGTCTCGGTTGTTAGATGAAATATAGTCTATCTTTTTTTACCTTCATATTTTCTCTCTTTATCTTTCCTTTCTCTCTCGACGATTAAACTTTTATCTTCGATATCAAATTTATCAAAATGTCTACTCAACAATTTCGATTTCTTTCATCTCGATAAACTAGACAAACACATCTATCGATATGTTCATTCATTCTTTTTATTATAGAATGAAAAAACCAAGCCAAACCAAAACAAACAAACAAAAAAATGAATGAGAAAATGATAAAGATAAATAGAAAAATGATATATATATATATATATATCTGAAAAATATATATGTGTGTACCCTGTTAGAAAGGATGCTCGAACGGCCCTAATCTAACTGGTTCTTCTCTCTTCTGGTATAATTTAACCGGAATAGCGTATCTCAGCGGGAGAGATTAGATCGGTTACTTTATCAAACGAGGAAATTGTCGAGGCTTAAGGACTTCTTCTCTCTTCGCATGGAACGCCATAAAAAGATGAGAACGGCCATCTTGTTCGTCTATATAAACCTATAGGATATTCGAATTGTTCTATTTTTACCTTAAAAACTACACGAAAATAGGAATTCACTGAAGATAAATAGGACGTTAATGATCGTTCTCGAAGATGTTCCTTTTAATAGATCACTAAACGTACATTTATACATACACGTATACATATATATTATACATATAGGGTATTTGAGAGGTTTTTCCAACGAAACGGTGTTAATATTCATAAAAATATGAAATAAATGTTATACAAATATGGATCATTAAAAAATTATAATTTCAATTGTAAATGTTCAAAAATTATTCGTTAACGATGATATTTTATGCTTAAATTCCAATCGATTATGTTCACTTTTTTTTACACTTATCTACAACGTTTATTATATTAAATTGTTTTAAGTAAATACCATCGAAATTACCGAAATTCATTTCAAACTAATTGTAAGAAATACGCCAATGCATACTCGTTAAAGGTATATTTCGTGCAAGAAAAATACTCGGTTATACTGTAAAACAGTGGTTCCCAAAGTGGGCAATATCGCCTCTTTGTAGACGATGAAGCGATCCAGGGGGGCGATGACAGTCACAGGTGAACTTTGGGGGTAGGGGAATGGCAATGAATAACTGTAAGTGAGCGGTGATATTAAAAAAAGAAAAGGAACATCAAAAAAGTAAAAAATTAATTTTCAGGGGGGTAATAAATAATATTTTTTCTGAAAAGGGGGCGATAGGACAAAAAAGTTTGGGAACCACTGCTGTAAAAGAACATCAACGCAAATTTTCTAGCAGAGTAAAGCATCATCGGTCAGTTTTGTCAAACGTATACATTCACAATTACGCTAAACAGGTTCTTTTCGTCCGATAACATTGCGCGTAGGTAGTTCGCAGCACTTTGAACGAGAAATTAGGTGATTTATAGTTAATATCACAATTTTGGTATGATGCTTTAAATGATTTATGTTTCATTAAAAACATTTGCTTCTTTTTTCTAGTTTTTTTTTTTTTTTTTTTTTTTTT